ATTGTTCAGCACAGCATGGCCACTGTAAAGTGGCCTTCCTGTAATTGTTCAGCTTGTATTTGCAGAGTTTTGAGGATCCTTAGCTCCTGTACTGTAACCACAAGCTGTAGGGATATGTGCTGTGAGTTTGATCACAGGAAAGAGCAGTGATACAAACACAGGAACGCTTCCTCCATATAACGCTAGGAGCCTATGAAACCAGTGTGGCAGATACTGCTCCCCGTACTGTGGGGACCTCCACTGAAAGAAACAAAGGTGCACTTAATTATCATCCTGGGCCAATTTCTTTCTTGTTTTACTAAATTTTATGTCTGGTAGAGTTGTGTAGTATTAAGTGACTGCAATATGGCATACAGATATTCAGAGACACTTCTGACAATTAGTCCAGGTATGGCAGCAAGAAACTTAGCACAGTCTATTTTAGTATACTCTTGGAATGGTAATCTATCTTTTGGCCTTCCAAAGCTGAAAAACAGCACTGGAAAGCTGAGAAGAATAAGAGAAGCAACAGGCAAAGTGTGACAACACATGGGAAGTGTGAGATGGGGAAACAGTAATAAGTCAAGAGAGGTGTTGTCCTGATAGAAGCAATGTAGGAATGAAACCCTATTCTTAGTGCTGCAAAGGCTTTCAGGTGGATTATCTGTGCATTCTGTGTACAGACATACTGTCACAACTGTGACAGTGCTGTGCAGACAGCATGTCTTATTTTTCACAGACCCTTCAGTGCTGAATAGGCTAGTGTGGTTATGCAGGAAGTGCCAATGCATCACAGGATACAGGGCTTGTAGCTCGAAGAGTCAGGCTAAGAGCTCACTAATTCAGAGGGGGATTTTCTTAGGAATATAGACTTAAGCGGTAAACACTTTTTACTAACAGTTCATACAGTGCCTGGCCTAACTCCCCCTAGGGAGCAGAGAGGTAGAGAATACATAGAGAACAGAACTGAAAGTTCTGTACTGAATACTCAAGGGAACTTTGCTATAGACATTGTTCCCGGTGCTTTGTTGTAGTTTTGCATATGTTTTTATTAAGCTGCCTGGAACTTGTGTAGACATGCTCATATTGTGGAAATAAACCCAAACAAAACATATACCTTCTTTCAAACAAGAAATCTTGACAAAGCTCACAGAAAATTAAAAGGTTGAGAGAGACGCTTTCCTTGCAAATATCAAACGTGCTTCCAGTTTCAACAGCAGGGTATGACCTTCTTGCTCCACTGATGAAACCCCTGCCCCCAACTAGTATTTATTATGTGCCACAGTGTATTTAATTAATTTCTGAAATACAGCATAGTGCTCAGAGATGAGCAGACATGTTTTTCAAGTGGCCATCTGCTTATCAATTCTGCAGTCTCCCATACAGCAGCCTTAATTGTTTGCATTACTTGAAAGATTAAGGTAATTTAGAAGACCTACTACATCATAAACCTAACTGTTTAATTGGTTTAAGTGTCTTTCTTTGATAAATACATGCTCATAGGGGTGGCAGCTGTACAGAAAATAGAGAATATTTCTCCCTACCTTTCAGCATATCCTTTCTCCCTATCCTTTCAGCATATGTTCTACTAGTCATTGTAATCCAAATCATCAGGAATGAAAATACACCCTCAAGCCTTCTACACTATGAAACTAAATCCATTTTCTGCTTCCTTTGGAACATAAACCAGAAATCTCCTAGATGTTTTATGTCTAAATATATAGGAAAAGTGTTAGTTATGGAAAAAAAAAAAACCAAAGAAAATGCCAGCTTGTGCTTTGTAACCAGGCTTGAGTGTCTAAGATGACACCGAATTAGGAAATTTCTGTGTACCGAGTAGCTATTCCAGTCATAGGTGCATGCGCATGGTATTGACCAGAACATGGAGGCCTTTTCATATGTGTATAAATTTTAACAAGAATTGACCTACCCTATTGAAATTTAAACCAAACCAAACCAAAACAAAAAAACAAACAACCAAACCAAACCACAACAAAAAGGACACAAAACCAAACCCACATCTATCTTTTAAATGTTTTCTCACATGTTTTCCAGTGTTTGAGGCTAACACTGAATGCCATTACTTGACACACAAAGCTTGTTGAATGTGTGAATTTCTACATTTTTAAACTGATGTAGTGGAAGGAAAGGAGGAAAAGCTGGTCTCACCATCTTCAATCTCAGTGAGAATCATGCTTTCAAAATAACTATGAAGGACTGAAAAGGTTTCAAGCTTCACAGATTATTTTTAGAAGAGTAATAACTAAATACACAATGATATGAAAAGAGAGAACCCTCCATCTGTATCTGAAAAGATAAATGAAACTTCCTCAGAGCTGTATAACAGGACACTGTATTCTTTCCTTTTTGTCTTCAGTAACCACAGTGGGTTTTTTACTGGAACTATTCTTACTCAGTAGCAAATGTTAGATGTAGCAGCCACAGTAACATATAAAGATATAACCTGCAAAGCTTGGTGGTTTTCCAGAGCAAAACCCAACAGCTTAGTAAAATAGCTTATGTAAAAAAGAATGAGGTTCAAGGAAATATGTGCATCTTACCATGGGCTGCGTGCCTCTTACTCCAAGTCTTGAATCAGTGCTTACACGCCTGTTCTTAGGGTGCTTGTTGGTCCTTTTAGACTAACATTGTGTAAATATAGAATGTTATATATATCTGAAGATACTGTAGTCTGTAAATACTCAAATGTCTGCTGCAAGTGTTATGAATGTAAGACTTGTGTTGCAATAATGGCAATTATTTTTCAATCAAAAATGAGGACTTTCAAGAGACACTTAAGAGCACTGAAGTATTAGATATCTAACAAGCAAAAAATCTTAATAAGAAGGAAAATAACTGTGATAACTCTGCAAATATCCTCCCTCTGCACCAGAATCTCATTAAATCTGAAACTTCTCCAAAAAAAAAAAAAAATAAAGGGGCAAAAATATTCCATTCTATAGTGTTTTGTGAAATGTGGTTCATTAGTTCTTCCCCGATGTACACACCGCTGTGTGTTCATAGAAAGGGGTATTGCATACATAGAATCATAGAACAGTTTGGGTTGGAAGAGACCTTCAAAGGTCATGATTCTTGCAATCTATTTGAAAAGCAAGGCAGCTCTACTCTGTGTGCTTCTACTCAAGGGGAGTGTGCGGGGAGGTTAAGAGGTGGAGCCATGTGTAAGGATTTTCACTGCCTAAGACCTGATCCATGCATTCACTCCTGAAAAATCTAGTCTTACATTGTCAACCTATCTTACCTAGGTTTTAATTGCCTGATTACCTTATTCTTAACTTTCTTAGGTCTCCTTGTGCCTTCCAGCCATTAGGAGAACTGGGATTCAGTCTTACTCCTGCCTTATCATCTGTGCCAAAAGGTTTTCTTCACCAGTGCTTTTGTAAGAGGTGTGGGATTTTTCTCTGGAGAGTTCTTCCTAGAAAAATCTGGTTGTAGAAACTGATAAGACTGACCTAATGACTGATCTGAAGACATTGTACATCAAGGTGCTATTGATCCGCAAAACAGTGAACATACAGGCTTATGCTGTTCTGCACATATAGCTTAGCAAGTGCTGGAGCTTGTCTTTCCTCCTGGAGATTTTGGATGTGTAAAGCCACACAATAAGGAAATGTCACTTAAATTGTTTCCGCAACCCATACAACCAGGCACAGTCCACAGGCTTCTAACAGAAGCTAGACTGGTTGTTGGGTTGATATCCCTTAACCTGTTTGTAGTGTTTCCCAGAATCACAAAAATGTTAGCTGGAAGGAACTTTTGGTCAGCCGTGGCTTTGTGTAGCAGTCTTGACAGCCCTCAAGGATGGAGGTTTCCCAATGGCATAGATAACCCTCCACTGATGTGCTGCCTTCCTAATAAATCATTGTCTCCTAGTATCTAACCTCAACATCCTTTTCTATACACCATGCTACTAACTCTCTTTACAAAGTCTCACTGGCACTGAAGGAAAAAGGCAATGACAAGGAGAAGAGCTGGAGGGTTGCCCCACAGGATTCATGATTCAGGGAAAGACAAAGGAAGTCTGAAGTATGTGAGTGAAGGAGCTAAACAAAACAACCTCAACTTAACTACCGGTCTCTGAAACATCAAAAAATACATTCATCAAATAAAGCTCTATCCTTCAAAACTAGGATGTTAGAAAAAAACCTGCAACTACATGTAACTGCAGAGCCTTAGCTTCCTGGAAGTGGACTGTAGGAATTTGGGATGACACTAGAATACAGGTTCAGCCTTGTTTAGAGAGTAATTAAGATATTAATATTTTCATCTGGGATACAGTAATTTCTGGTAACTGCAGATGAAGCAGAAACATATAAAGGAAAGATGGATTATAGTAAAAGGAGATGGATTACAGTAAAAAAACAAACCAAAATAAAACAGAACTCAGACTTCTCTTACAAAGTTTTCATTTTGCCAAAGGAAAGATGATCATGCAAAGAAAATGAGTCATGAAGTTGTAGACAGATCTATAACGTGTTTTGATATTTTAAATCATGACTGGCTTTAGTCTTCCTGTTCAAGATTAGCAAATAGTAATGAATGGAGGAGATGGAAGATCTGTAAAGCACATGTGGAAGCTTGAACACAGAGCAGTCAGACAACACGACCATTAAAGCTTTTTTATATATGTATCAATCCCCTACTGTCAGAGTTCAAAAAAAGTGTGTGTAATTAAATAAGAGTAAATCTGAGGGTGAAATATGAAGCAAGTCAGGTGGGTTCAATTCTGTTAGTAACAAATATTATAAAAGATGCCTATGCATAAGATGTCTGACATCAGCAAGCTCCAGAGTAAAAAGTTTGATTCAGCTCCTCTACCCCTGAGTAATCACACTGGTTTCCAAATCAGGAGACTGAAACCAACCCTTGTTAAAATCAGGTTTCTATACTGGGGGATGGGGAGCCATTTCATTAAGCTCTGTGAGTCATTAAAGATGGTCTTTAATTTTTGCACACATGCTCAGGATACAGATTCCACTTACTCTAGTCTCTCTTCTAAGTTAAGGGTTTTGACTCATGCTTGCCATTATTGAATTCACCTGAATTACTTTTACTGCAGCTGTGGCATTTCCCACGCTCCTCTTCCCTGAGTCTTAATGGTCTGGTGGAGCAGCTGCTAGTTTGCAGGCTGAAGGAAACTAAGGAAGTCAAGGAATGGGATTAGAGAATTAGTACAACAGGTAAATGGTCTTGAGCTGATACAGTGTTTGTTTTTTTCTTATCTCCTGTGACACTGTGTTTTGTTATGTCCTAAGATTAATTCAGTACTGTGAAATTAGGAATATATGGGCTTTATAAAGTCAGACAGAGCAAAAGACTATCTTAACTCTTTGCAAGAGTACTTCCTGCAAGGTTTAAAATGCTGTGACTCATGAACCTTCCAGAACTGAATCCTGCAAGGTAGGATTAAACAAAAAAAAAAAAAAAAAATTCAGAGTGTTTCCTGGCATTTGGGAAAGATGCAGTAAATGTTTGACAAGGATTCTCAGACCACTGGAATTAGAATTTAGGATGTTGTGGTTTTTCATGAGAAAACTTTATTTTCCATTCAGAGTGAAGGCTCAGCATCTAGAGGAGGAAAGGCTGTAGTCTGAGTGGGAATTCATGCCTTTCTGGTTGTGGAAAGGCCAGTGTAGGCTGAAGAGAGATACAGAATGGAGTACATACTGGTTTTTGCTGAAGAAGAGCAGATTAATGGTCCAGTGGCACTACATGCAGAGGCACGTGTACCTTGGTGCAGGACTCCTGTTCTGCAGAGCTTTTAAAAGTGGTTAGTGCTTCAAGGGGTACTATAGGAGGGAGTTACAGTTAGTTCTTAAAAGCTTTGACAGTACACTGTTTGAAAGATATCATAGCTTGAGGGTGGGTGGGGTCAAAAGTATAGATAAGACTGAGGATTTCATCTCCAGTGAAGTAATATTACTTGAAAGCAGACACTAAATTAAAAAAGCTAGTCCAGATAGAAGAATCTGAGGTCAAGGCTGCAGATGAGCTACTTTATCCTTGCAGATAATGGAGTGTGGATGTAAGAAAGCTGAACTGATTGGGATACGAATAAAGTTGTTTATTTTTTTGCTTTTGAAATCAAGATGTAAACCTCACTCAAGTAACTGAGAATATTTCAAGGAGCTGAAGTTTAAAATTCAGATGTATTTCTAAAAGTTGTGCATTGCTTCTCATTACTTCTATGCTAATAGAGAAAAATTTGTCAAGTACGCATTTTTTTCCTAACCTTTTAAACAAAGATTCTCTGAAGAATGGAAGTGTGGTTTTGCTATGATCACAGAATCATAGAATGCTTTTGGTTGGAAAGGAAGATCGCCTAGTTCCAACCCCACGACCATGGGCAGGGACACCTTCCACTAGATCACGCAACTTGGTCTTGAACACTTGCAGGTATGGGGCATCTGCAATCTCTATTATTTGCTATAGAATTATATTTTATAGTAGTTGCAAGCTCATCCTCATTTAAAATTTGTAGGGGAATGAAAAATATGAAGGACTTGTTCCTAACTTATCATTAGTTTTCAGTAAGCTCTGCATGTATTGCAAGCCAAATTAATATTCTCTAGCTTTCTTATAATGAATTTTAAGTGTGCTAGAAGAAATATGTACACCTTGGCACTAATGCATTATATGCTGTGAACAGCAAATGAATATCAGTAAGAACTGAGGTTAAAGAGGTTAATCAGGTTCAGGGATAAGTCCTAATATCCTTTTTTTTCTAAAAATCCTATTGATTTACCTGGGATCTTGCATTAATTGCTCAAGGAGTGAGCCTTATAGGATTGTATACCATTGTCTTTCAAACCAAATAATAAATATATTAAGGAAGTAAAGTGCTCCTGAGATGCAATGCAGAAAATCCAGCAGCTGCAATTTATGGCTGAATGTAACAGCAATACCACATTCAGCTGTGGAACGAATATGAGGTTTCAAAGTTATGTTCACTGTTTCTCTTGATGGAACTAAAAGAATCTTTAACTGAGTCCCAGCTTATAAACTGCACTCATAAGAGAGGTCAGACCATTCTCCTGAAACTAACTAAATATATTAAAAGATTAAGCATTTGTTTAATCTACGTACAAGATGTCTTGGACATGTTTCCTCCTCCAGATTATAGAAACTATTAACTCAAGACAGTGAGCTACTACATCATCCCTGAAGTGCCACAGGATGGCAGCCTTTCAGAGTAGTTATTCTGTGGGTGATCTTGCATATTTTCTGTCTGAGAACTGAAGAGCATGTTATCTTTGTAGCTTACTTCTTTAGTACCAGAACTATTGCCCTATTACAGCATATTGTATTTTATCTGGTTGGTCCCAAAGCTTGAAAAGCTTTTCTTTATGAAGCAGTCTGTATTTTAAGCCTGAAGCTGGGATTATACAACAAGGGCAATCAAATATGCAATCAAATATGGTTGTGGAGTGCTAGTTCTGGCTTAACCTACACTATGCTTTCTGGGGTCTGCAGGGTTAACCTCTTTTGCATGTGGTCAGTTGGTTTTGTCATGCTGTCTCATGCCACCCCCCTATTTCCATCCATCCATCCATCCATCCATCCATCCATCCATCCATCCATCCACTGTGACATGTCCCCCTGTCCCCAAACTTCCATGTACTTTCAATGAAATTTTGTTTAAGTAGGGATTAAAACTTTAACAAATACTTCGAATATGGAAGGGCATTATTACCGTTGGGATATGTAAAGCAGTTATCACTGTTGGCTGTTGCAAAAGGGATACATAAACTGTGGAAGTCTCTAAGATTACCATAGACAGTGAAGGAATTGTGTTCAGGTAGAGCTGACTGCCTACCTAAACTGTGCAGAACGACTGTGTGAACTCAAAATTAATGCAAGCTTTATACGTATGGAAGGAATTAATTTGATCAGTTCCACAAAAGTTTGCATTTATCTTCACAGGATAAAAGCTGCAAATAAAAGATTTCTTAAGAGCAGGATAAAAAAAAAAGATTCTTTAATAAGACTGTGATCTAGAACAACAGCTTTGAGGCTACATGGGAGTTGATGATTGTATTAATTGTGAAACTCGGTCCTTACAAAATGAAAACAGTAAATACTTCCATGCAAACCAGCTGATGTTACTTGATTGCTTGCTGTGTATTCTTGGTTCCCCTGGAAAACCTCTGCTGACATACAGAAGGTATGCTGGTTTACAACTAGCACAGTCCCATTAAAGGTACGTGATTATAAAGCTCCCAAGATAAGCCCTGCAGCTACGCAGGCATGTGCAGGTGGCTTTCATCTCAATCTGACCAGCAGGTGACAGCTTCCTTCCAAATTTGTTTTATTCTTGGTTACCTTGAGGATCACCAGAAACAGACCTGCACAATGTTGGAAATACTGTATTCGGATGCTCTGTCAATCATTCAAGCTATAATGAAGTCTTTTTGAAAGTAAAGGGTTAACTTAAGGCGCAGTACTGTGACTGCAGTATTTTTAAAGATCCCTCAGTCTTATTCCGTGTAGCCTGATGTCACTTGTGGAGGGTGAGAGCAAAGTGAATGCTAAGAAAGAGAGGCCAGACGCATCATCAGAGAAAACATCCCAAATCCCAAGAGTTGTCAATTAACTAAGACATAAAAATACAAATAATGAGACTAAAGGAAGGAAGCAGGGAGAGCTTTCAAAATGATTTGTACAAATGAATGCACAAACTCAGTTAAAAAAAGCTGCAATTCTTTCTTTGATCTCCTGTTGAACTATTAAGTTACAATTTCAACAATTTAACAATAGATACCAATGTGGAAGTCAAAGTGGCTACCAGGCTGAAAATCATGTCCTTGAGTGTTTGTGTACAAACACAGCATGGGCAAAGCCTTTACAATATACATCATTTGGGGGAAAAAAAAAAAGTTATAATTCATGGTACTGAAGTCACCATTGCTATAATGCAGTTGCATGAAAAGGTTTTTCCTTCTATTATTTCTGGCGGTGAGTGAACATAATGAACTTCTCAGGCGTTTTGTACTCAGACATAAATTATACTTATTTTATTTGCAGGCTGAAATTACTTTGTGAAAGATGGGCATGCATACACAACATTTTCCCAATTTTTCCATTAAGGGAGGGATACCACTGACATGCCACTGCATCCCCCCCAGCTCTGTGCATCCTTTTTAGGCAACAGCAGCCAGACATGCACCCAGATTTCGCTATTTTAAGCAGCAAAAGGGCTGAAAGGGCCCAGTGCCCAGTGTCTTTGTGGAGTTTTGCAAGGTACAATGTTGGTGTCTGAGCCCAAAACCAGCACAGGCGCCAGGGATAGGTGAGGAGGAGAAGTGAGGAGATTTGACCTCCATACATTTTTGTTTTTTTTTTTAGCTTGCTAAATGCCCCTTATAGTAAGTGACTTGAAGAAGCACATGTTATTTTGACCCAGCATTAAAATCCAAGCCCCTCAGAAAAGGGCCTGAGGAGGCAGGACAGGCAACGGCTGCCATTACCAAGGGACCTTGATGCTATCTGTGAGGAGAGGGACCTTAGTCCCCACAGAACTGCTGGAGCCTGTCAGGGATGACCCTGTCAAAGAGCCAGCTCCAGCACTGGCGAAACATGGGGACAGGTAGAGGGGAGGGGATGATCTTTAAGGTCACTTCCAACCCAGACCGTCCTGTGGTGGTTGGTTCTGTGATTCTATGAATTAACTTTTATGCCCCTTCAATCTGTGAATTTAGGAATAGTAAATCTATACCAGCAAGTTACAAGAAACAAAAAGGTTATGTGTACCGAGTTGTGCAATTTGTACATTGGATGAAAGTTAGACACATGATATTTTCTATGCTTAGAACTGTGTTTCTTACTGAGTTTGCATTTTAAGTTATCCTCCTCCTAGTGCATGTTTGCCCAGCACCCTACACCAGATGATCATTTCCAGAAAGCTGTTACCTAAATAATGAGAATAGAAACCAACAGCTCTGCTCAGAAGCATTACAAGACAGTTATGTTTCTTTACATGACTCAGCGAGTTCAGATCTAAGCACAAAGCAGGTTATACATGTCCATAGCATAGACCAGCAGCAAAAGATGTCTGAATGTGGACCAGATACTCCAGAAATCCTAACAGTATTAATTCAGGCTGTCTGCTCACAAAATAAGTAGCATCCATTGGGACTCTGCCCCAAACACCGTGAAAATTGCCTGGCACACTAATTTGAAAACCAGTGATGACAAGATGTTAATTATACATTCCCTTTTACCCAATAAGAAAAAATCCAGGACATGCATGCCCCTACTGATGCTTGATGGCATACAATGTGTACAGCAGCAAGAAGTTGACTAAAGTAGCAGCAGAAGATACAAGCAAAGAGCAAAACAAATGAAAAAGACCTTCAACAGGGGAAAGTCCTCTTTTCCTATGCCTGTGACTTATGCTGGCTGCCCAACACCTCTAGAATATCCCAGCGGAACTGGCTTGGCTGGACCCAAGCCAAGACTACCTTACTTCAGGGTAGCAGACACACCAGTCTCGTCTGTCTTTCCCAGAATCATCTTGTATATATGAGGTCTACTTAATACATAACACAGGGTCACCTTAGAAACAAACCCAGACTTCCCCCCCCGTTATAGGCCATGACAGAACATTGCCAGCTGCTTACATTTGTTCAAGAAGGGCATCATCCTATTTAGTCTAGCTTTCTTCAGAAGCCCATCTTGAGCACTTCAGCATAAGTATGCAGGAAAATATATTTAATGTGTGTATATTCAGAAAGAACTTGTTGCCCACAGGAAACTCCTCTGTGGTGGAACCTGTTTGCTGCTTATTCTAAAATAAAGCAATTGTTTATATTAATAAGGATCAAAGGCGAAATGATGCCAAATGCACCACTAATATAGTATGTTTTCATGGGCTTCATAGGATATTTTTTTTATTGAGCTAGTCTAACCGCAATTTTTTGGCCAAATTCTCATTCTGGTTTCTTGCACCAAGGGGTGCCTGCTTGTAACGTGAACACTCTGCAAGCTTAGACTTGCAGTCATAAACTAAATTTCTAGGTTCACAGAAAACAACCAAAGTTTTATTAAAATAAGGACATAAACATTTAAATAATCTTGTAATTTCTCCCATTATTAACATTTTCTGTGAAGAATTTCTCAAAATGAGAAGACTCCTTTTATTCTTTGCCAACTCAGTTATGCTAGTTTTTAGAAGTAATTTCTTATTGTCGTGACTGCTGTTTGTATTAATTAAGATGTGTTTCTTTCCATACATTACTTTGTGATTTATTTTTTCAAAAGGTCTGCAATCTGAATAGAAAATACAGTGGCACATCCATTGGCAGCATTGGAAGTAGGGCAGCATGCAGCGACATGCCATACCAGCACATCTTTTGTTTTGCAATTCTTGAGTTTTGAGGGGAGACTATCACCACAGCTGGGCAGAAGGTGCTTCACCTGGAAGTCTCTAAGACTACAAGACCCTAAGAAGTTTCAGCCCTTAAGTGAAATAGGATTAAGCCTAAGCTTCAGCAAAGTTTTGTGATCCTATGGCTTCTGCTGCACAGAAAAGCAGGACCTTTTAAAATGCAAGGCTGCTGCTCTGCCTCCTCTGTCCTGCTGACTTTCAAGCTCCCTAGCACACCTACCACCCAGGTAGGAAGAGAGTTCACAATTTGTGTGTTACACCTCAATTAGCAACAAACTATAAGCCTTTCTCAGCTTCCGAGGCCCAGTGTATGTCTTAGGCACGCTCCTGTTTGCATAGTTGCATGAGTCTCTCTTGTGTGCCCTGGTTTCTGCATATGCTGGAACAAGTGCCAAATGCACATTAATTGCTTTCAGAATGCACTCTGGGTCAGCTGGGAGCTAACTATAAAGGCAGGATTTCCTACCTCCCAGCTTCCTAAAACCAGAAAGTGCCCTTTTTTTTTTTCAGATGAGGAATACTCTCTCTGAGAGTGATGGCTGTTTCTGGCCCCCACATTCCCCAATTAATACCCTTAAACCCAGATACTGCATTCACTTTGACCACTGACTTTGTGATAGGAATAGTATCATTCTTAATATAACTGAATTTGTTCTTTCTAAGTAGTTTAAACAGATTATGAAGAACTGGTTCTGTACTTGGCTTACATGATCAAGAAGTGGAGAAAATGAAACACTTTCTGCTGTCCTAATGGTAGCATAGATATTATGCTCTGTGGTTAGAGAAATGAAAAAGAGGAGGGATAAAAGAATTTCATAATGTGAGGGAGTTTAAAGAGAGCATATGAGAAAAAGCCAGAAAGATGCTGTCAGAGTCACTGCTTTACTTTCCTATTGCTAAAGAATTTCCATGTAATGATGGGTGACACCGTCTATCCTAAAAGTTAATACTGAGTTATTGACATTTTTTTCCTCCAATAAGTGATAATATAATACCTCAGTGCATTCTTTCCCAGATTCTCAGAAAAAGCAGGGTAAGTGGACATTTGATTACTTGGAGGGATATCCTGGTATGTCTGTTGTAAGAAGCCTGAATAAGAGATTGGAGATTGAATGCTCCAAGGGGTTAGATAAATGTTATTGACGTTAATCCAATTTAGGCTTATTAAAGAAAAAGAGATAACATATTTCTTATTTGTATTAAGGAAATGTCTTGTATAAGTAGATCAGTAAATGGCTCTGTGTTTCTTTATTAATGGATTTCATGTGTTTGTTTTCAGAGCATTTTGCTCAAAGCTTTAATTCCTCACAGGGCAGCAGTTTGCTCTCACTCTCTCTTGGAATTGCAAGGAGATGCTAGTGACTGATATGGGCTCAAGTTGTTGACACTAGAGAGCTATGATTCCTAAATAACATAGTTTTACCTGGTGGCTGGAAATTGGAGAACCTAACATATTTCCTGTGAGATTTGTAACTTGGTAGACAAAAAGGTGCCCAGTTGCAGCCTTTATGCTATGAAGAGGTGATCCACAGCATTACAGGCATATTGTGTCTAGAATATAATTGACCAGTTGAAATAATTTTGGAGGACAAATACATGCAAATATGCAATCATGCATTTAAGCAAAGTTTAAGTTAATGAAAAATATTCTGCACAAGAATATCACCTTCAAAACTTCTTAATAGGCAGATAGTTTGCTTATTATAAGCTGGATTTTTGCCATATTTGTGAACAAACGAGTACCAATTCTGTTCTCGGGCATGACAGTCAACAGCTTCACTGTCATTAACCATAGTGCTTCTGATCTGGTACAATCTCTCTTTCCTCCATTGCTCACCTTCTGCTCACCATTCCAGCTTCTGTTCCCCTCTCTCATTTCAGTCATGTTACAACCCACGTTCTTATCTAGCCCTCAAAAATAACAGGGTCAATTTAAAAAATGAATTTTGTAGTTTTACGTATAGGAGTGAAATCGTATTTTGGAGCTGTATGGAAATGCATGCTTTGGCTTTACTGGTCTGCTCAGCATATGCTATATTACTTGGTTTCAAGTAACGAAACTAGCAAAGACTGTGTAGGGTTTTGTTTTGTTTTGTTTTGTTTTGTTTTTTACTTTTCTGTTCAGATTTGCGCTTAAGAAAAAAAAATAAAAAGCCATAACACTTCAATTGACAGTGGAGAATTTGCCTACATCTGTCCCTGACTGACTTTATTACTCCCAGAAACTATGGGTTATGGTAAGTAATGGGTACAGAAATAAGGTGTTAACCTGAGAAAAATATGAAAGGGGCATCATGAAAACATGACTGTGATGTTCTAAAGTTTTGCTGCTTTATAGTTAAGGTAGAAATTTAAACAAGTATACTGATCCATTGTAATCTAGAGATGGAGACCCTTTGGCTTAGATTTGCACTGTGAAACCATGATTTGTATAACGTAGTTTTGTTCTCTCCTGTATGACTGGTCCTGGGATTTGTGAGGCTGTGTTCTGTTTTCACTTAAAAAAAATGTTTCCTCGAAGAGTACCTGGTCTTTTACATCAAATAACAGAAAATATCAAATGTCATGTACAAGCAAAATTCACCAAGAATCTTGCATCTCTGTTATTTCAAGAGAAACAGGTCTGTAAACACTACTCTCTTTTCGATTATGATACTTTTCAGGATAATGTAAGTTGGATAAAAGATTACTCTTTTGACAGTATTTATTTGACTTTTATCTGCATTAGGAACTAAATGTGACTACTTGGCATCATATCAGTAATTACTCGTTTTCACTTACGTTGCATGTATTATGTACACTTATCAGATGAAAATGCAGCCCTCTGCAGTGTCTGTAACACCTGGAAGCTTTGGTTTTGAGGCTGACTTCTCTGAAATGGGGTGGTTATGAATGTATGGTTAAATACTGCTCTTCAATGATTTCATGTTTGGCACATTGCGGGCAAGTCAGACAGAGCTTCCCCTTGCTGTCAAGTTCCTAGAGGCTGTCAAATTCTGCAGCTATGTAGTAGGGCTGAATGCAGTGACACCCATGTCATCCTCATGTGTTGAGATTTGACAGTTCTATGCCTTTCCCCAGACTGGCGTGTGAGGCATTCTGCTGCTCCTACAAGAATGCTGATTCATACGTAGGTTGTACATATAAATAGGCTGTAAATCCTTTCTGGCAAAAATGAATTTTAGCAGAGTTGAAGAATTCACCCCTTGTTGATAATGCTTTTACTAAAAGTTTATCTTAACAGTTCATTCAAATAATTAGCGTTGAACATGAAGAGTAAACCAAGAAAAATGTTTGCTGTTCACCCATGAAACAACGAATTTTAATTCAAAGTTCTCAGCAGATCCGGTTCTATTGGCTGTACTCCCTGTTCCCTGCACAAGGCTTTTGCACTCAAAAAATGGAAATGGCAATGTGCCATATGCCACATATTCAAATTACACTGTTATAAAAGCAAAGGGAAAAGCACTTTGCAGTGCTTTCACTTATCATTCAGTGCCAGATGGCAGCTGTGGGATTGGAAAGGCTGTTGGTTAGTCTTTTGTATTTGGTCTTGGTTACTGAGTAATAAATAATGGGTCTATCTTCCCTGGCAGCTTTTATCCCAGGATCTTGAACTGTTTCAACTCTGCCTGTGGTTGGGAAGGGTTTAATTAAATAAGCCAGCTGCATCTGTTGTGAGCAGGGTTGTGTGATACTGTTTCTTTACATGACTGTGCTGATACCCACACAGGTGTTGATGCCAGTGAATCTGTGGAACACTGCTTGAAGTCTTTACCCCAATCTGTTGATCATAAAATGAAATGAAAAGGTAAAACTTCACTTGCTCTAGGAATTCAGACCCCAGCCTGTGTGAAGGGAGGGATTTTTTTAAAAATAGCTCAAAATCTTTAAACAGATGCCTTGATATTTTAATCACATTCAAGAACTGCCTATAAATCATCTTTCTGTCTTAATTCTTCATGCTATTGTAGCTGTAGGCTGTGATCATAATTAGGATTCTATTGTACTTACACAAACATGAGCAAGTGTTATTTCTTCTGTGAATGCCCAGTCTAAGACAACCATTAATTTGGGTCAGGAAGAGGGGGGAAATTTAAAAACATCTCCCTCTGCATTTATTTGTTAGAATCTTATACTTAACTGTTGATTTGGATACATTTTGGTGTAGTTACTGAGGTTTTTTAACTCTCACCTACCCTTTTTTTGTCTGATTAATTTCTGTAGCTATTGTTCTTCTTGTTTCTTCTTCTCACAGAAAGGCAGCAAGTTTAAAATACTCTGTCACATCTTTAAAGATGCAGTAAGAATGAAGAGCAATTTTATTTTATAAAGCACAGATTTTCACAACACTTGACAAATGGTCTGCCTAAAGGCTTGAAGTGTTACTGCTGAATTCAGTTGGGAGGGTTTTCATTATTTTCGTGTGTTCCAGACCTGACCTTAAGTACCTAAGTACAGACAGTGGTGGGATAGGAAGGCGTGCATGGGCTCAAAGATCTTGTATAGTGAGAACAAGAGGTATGTGGGAGTACAGAGGTGATGACAGCAGTAGTACAAAGTTTTCTAACTTATCTAGGTGACTTCAGAATCATGATGCAGATTAATACCAGCTTGCTTCTGACATGTATGGCTACCACGGAAGCATATGCATGTTTCCATTTTCCAGTCATATGCATATTGATTTAATTACCAAAAATTGTTGACCATGGTACACCTAAGAACCATATTGGTGTTTTTTCTTATCTGCATTGAGCAATAGGATATTCCTCACAAGTCACCGGGGAGATTGTGTTTTTTGAAAAGCAGTATGGAAAAACCCACCTGTTAGGGAGCTCATGGATTGTGTTTCTACAAGCATAGACAAATGTGGAATAAACCTCTTCTGTAAGACGCCACTGGGCTGCCTGACTGTATGCTTACAGTTCTGAGACATACAGTGCTGGTATTTTCTGGCTTTTCTCCTTCATTGTGTAACATCTTTGTGTATATAAGTGTATATAAATACAAAATCATGGAGTGTGTGTGTATGGAAAGAGATCAGAGACATTTGAGATTTTGTGTTGAAACAGCACTATATTCCGTGCTGCACTGGGGTAAAAGGAGGTGATCAGTGATGCAGGGCAAGGGAGAAGTCCTTTTAATACTACATGTGATGGTGTCTATAACCTGCTATGTGGAAACAAAACCATAATGGAGTATCTCTGAGCTCTTTCAGTGCTGCCAGGTGATTGTGGGCATCCAGCCCGAAGCTGATGTGCACTCATAATTCTGGAATAACTGGGGCAAAATGGGAAACCTGAAGTAGTGTCTTCCTCTCTTCCCACAACTGGAAGCAAAATTATATTATATTCAGCTGTAAAGAAACTTATTTCTAAACTGTATAGGGATCAGAAAAGCTCTAAAGCATGTGTATAAGGAGATCATTGGAATATAAATATGGCTTAATAATGACAGTCAATTCATTGAAGTCCTGCTTGGGTATATCAATAATTTGAAACTTGGAAGAGGAAGGATCATATATTCTATTTACTTCACTGGAAGCTTTGCTGACTTGAGCACTGCAGGGAGAAAAGACTTTCTCATAAAGAGTAGATACAATGATTTTGTAATAAATAGGACTGTGTTTACCTATCTGGAAAATGCATGCCTGCAAAGAACTTGGAAATAGAAAAGTTCAATTCTAAACATTGGTTTCCATGGTTCTGTGGAAATTGACCATAAAACTTGTATGACATGACCAAATAAAAATAGGGTTTTTTCCTAGCTTTTATATATTATTAGTGTCTATGTAAAAGAGTTCCTATCTATATATAGATATGTTTGTATATGTGATTAAAAAAAATTATATTAGGAAAATTAGCCGTGTTTCTCTACACATTTTCTGAGAAAGTTAAAAAATATTATTATTGTTTGGTTTTATTTAGGTCTAGCTGTCTTTTCAAGAAGAGATACAATAACATAAAGAAGACTTGCTGGCTGCACTTTGTCTTTTCTGTGAAGATGTAAAATTGAACCAATTAGTCCTGTGGTAGGTTATTACTGGCAAAAAACAAACAAGAACAGTAAGCATTGCAGAGTAAAAATAACATCTCTTGTTAAAGAAATGTTAGATGTTGCAGAAAGTGACTTTTGGAATCTGCATTCTCAGCATTTTCTTTTAGGCACAGAGATTTCAGTCTTGTTAGGTTTAGCACTTCTGTGGCCTGGAAATGACTGGAGAATTTTACAATGGTTTTGTTTACAAGAAATCTCTCAAGTCACCAAGGTAACTACTCTAAAATTGCATTTATTCAGCTTATCATGTCAGAACAGGTCTATTCTGATGAACTTTTGAATTACTTTCAAGGAACATAAACCTGGTTGTTAACTGTTTTATTAAGATAAATGCATAAATATTAAAGTAGATATAAAAAATAAAATTATTCTTTTATTAATAGTAAATAAAGCAAACCATTGGAGTGAAAGCTTGCCTTTATCTGTTTGCTGGTACTGCTATCCAAAGGTCTGGCTGTTATTCTTTTACATCCCGAAACACTTGAATCATCCTCTTGGCTTGTTTAAGATGAACTGCTTCAATATTGCAGCTAATAGGCTGTAGCTGTTGTGGTCAGTCCTGTAACTATTGTTGGTTTATTTGCTATTTTCAATAAATGTTTCACTTAAAGGTCTTCCTTTCTTCCTTTCATAATATTTAAAAATAAAAAAACAAGCCAAGTTTGCAGCAATAATGAAATTTTAAAGGTTCTCTTCTTTCAGAAGTAATGAAGGTTCTAGGTGAAGGAAGCAAGCAAAAAGCAGGAGAGCAGAAAAACTGAAAACACTACAGAAGGGAGCTGTAGGATGAAGACATATTGATGATTTTATTCTTATTATTACTTTTATTGTGCTCAGACATAGCTCAAGACTGTGTCTGCTAGGGCAGGAAGTAAATTATTTGGTAGTATCTGCTAGCTGGTATAGTAAAACACTTATATAAAAATCATAATAAAACTAGGAAAATGGTATCCTGTCTGGCATCTGGCCTGGAAATAGGTTATACCTATCTGAATAGGCTGGAGTGGGGTGGCACACAGGACGTAACATGTGTGTGGGTGAGCCAAAATAAGCCATTTTTCAGCAGTGTGTAGCAGCAGTAATCTGTTGGACCAGACTAGTCTTGACCTCTGGAAAGCTGTATATAAACACTAGTGATGATCTTGGGGAAGAGAGAAGCAGCCTATTTTGATTGCAACTTCCTCTTGTTGAAAAGCTCCTTAGCCTTGATCTACCTTGAAGACTAAAAAGCATCAAATAACTGGGAGCCACCCATAGAGCACTGACTTATAGTATTATGCGTCTAATATTTTTGACAAATGATTCATCGTCAGCTGTGTGTAGGGATTGAGAAATAGGGAAGAGCTGTAACTAACTATTGTAAAGCTGAAAACACCCATATTGGTTAAACTGTGCTCTTTATGAATGCAGCTGTGACTACTTTGTTTAGAAAAGGCAGCCAGAGAGAGAAAGATGTGAAGGGTAGTGCCTGCTGTCTTAGTGACTTTGCAGCTTAAGTACAGGAATGGGTTATTTTTGATATTCAAAAAACTGCTTCTGCTTGCTTTAACAGTTGTAGGAACAAACCAAGAATACTGTTTTCCCTTTTGAGAAACTACACAAGTGATGATTTATTTCTCCCTTGCTTTCTGTTTCTGACTTTTGATTTTGCATTAACAGTGAATCCAGGCCTGTCACTGCCTGAAGAGGTGTTAATGCCACTGAACTGTTATCTGAAAGTGACAGTACTTTTTCCAGCTGTGCTACAAAAATAACCAGATAAACAGCAGTCCTTCTCTCACAGTTCATAGAACAATTGAAGGCACCAGGATTGTAAGAGGACATTTGGAGTATCCATGCTCTAGACAGAGAAAGGAGTTCAAATACCCTGTGGTGGCAACTGTTCCCTCTGAGATAACTGGCTGTCATCCTTCATGCCTGCAGCTTTGGATAAGCTTTTCTTGAATGCCTGTTGCTCCCCAGATGTTGTATTGGAAACTGGTACACAACTTTTAGATGTGGATTCTATCCAGGCAACCACAGGCCTGAAAGTCAGGAGTGTCAATGTGCCATTCCTGGGTATCAGGGTTTCTCAGTGTCAAAAGAAGATCTATAGTAAAGTCTGGTTTTGGTGAAGTGATCTGGGACAGCTTCCAAGTGGCTATTTAAAGCAAACAGTTTGTTAAGTACAGTCCTCAGTGAAGGTTTCATTGCATAGCATTTTGTCCATCTGTTCTGTGATGTTTCTGTGGGTTTTTAAAATTATTTTTATAATAGGAAAGAAGCTAAAATTACTTTGGAATTTGTTCCTATTCCTCGCTGCTTGTCTAAGGAGAAAAGTGAAGTGAAACTTCATTAATAGGAATTTCATGGATTGTCATGCTTTCTTTTCCAGTTAGCATCTGAAGAATTGGTTTGTTTGGTTTTTTTCTCATGTCTTCTTTCTAATCCTTACAATGTCAATTGAGAACAAAGGTTTTATTATAAACATTTGCTGGGTAACCACAAAAATTAAAGAAACTGCTTGTATTTAGCAGCAAAGTCTATGTGTTGCTGCTGACAATAATTGTAACTGTTTCAACTTGCTTTTATTTTTCATGCTTTTTTAGACAAAACCTTTGAACTTTGGTGGTATCTCTAAATGCCATACTGCATGCAAATGAAAGCTCCAGAAGAGCTGTTTTGCTATTCATCTTGTCTGCTGTGGGTATTTCTGGTTTATTTGTCCAGATAAGAGTTTCTGTGTTAAATATGTTTTGTGCTATGTAGAAAGTCAGGGAAAGGTGTTCTCATATTAAACACGATCGTAATCACTTGTGAGATGAAGACTTATAGGGGACTTTATTTCGCAAGTGCAAAGCAGTTTACTTTTATGTTTAGATTTCTCAGAGGCAAAGATAACAGCGTGTGATAGAACAACATTCCTGTTTTTCCCCAGAACTGGAATGATGCTTCAGTGTATTGGTTGAGATATATTAAGACAGATTGACTGGGGTATCTGGTGCTTTGTTTTGGGAGGAAAAGTGCTCTGCTTGAAAGAAATCCATGTCAAGATTTCATCTAGAGTCTGTGACCAAAAGAAGAACCACATGGGCATCCTCCAAGTCATAGCTGCATGTTGCAATCTTGCCTTATGTGTCTGTGATAGCAACGAAAGATAAACTGGGGAGTATCATAACTTACAGCTTGACTTGGAGATGACAATAGGCAGCTGGTTAGTGTAGTGTTGCTATACCAGGACATTAGGGGCCTGATTCAGTTGCATAAACATGAGTATCAGTGTGATGTGAAATGTCACAGAGAATGTTGTCCATTATCTAGCTGCTGATTCAAAAGGGGCATGGTTCTCCTAAATTTCCAGTGACTTATTTCCCAAGTCTGTGTAGATTATCTTGCACTCCATAGGATATCTCAAATAGCATGAGGTGCTTATGATGAGATGGCAAACTTGTGTCCCATAAGAAGCTGCAAGAAGTACGGCTCACCCAAGAGCATTATTTGGATAAAATTAGTATGATTTCCATCCTGTGTTTCTTTTGCTTGAGTCCAGAGGAAGAAGACAAGTTATTGATGGAAAAATGTAAGTGATAAACCTGCCAGGTAGGTGTCTATAAGTAGCATCCTCTGTTTTTTTTTCCTGGATTTCTGCTTAAGTAAAGTAAACATGGGCTATTCTGGAAGTTTGCAATGGCCCTCAACAAAAATCATTTTAGACAGATCTGTCACCACAGTATTTTAATTCTTGGGACTCATATATAGAGATCCAGTGCTATTTTCCTCTTTAAAATGGCCGGTAACTAAATTATGCCTTAGAACCTCTTTTTCTCTCTTGAAGGCAGATCACAAAATTTTCTGCAGATCCTGACTTTGACTTCAGTTTTTCCTTTCCATAAGTCAGTTATCCATTTTAGTAATTATTAATCCTTAACTTTTGAACTTTTTTTGGACTTAACAAGCAGGAATAATACTTTTTTTCCTGAAGTACTTTATTCTTCTCTCCTCATGAAAACAGTATAATGATGCAGTCCCTCTTCAGTGAATTACACCAGTTACAAGATCGATCTTTGAAATTGGCCTCTGCAAAATATTCTCAGTCAATAGAACTGTTTTGTGAAGGAGTGGTTCTTTTAAGCATTTATTTTTATTTGGGCAGGTTAGGGTCTTGACTTTCCTGGCAACAGAAATAACGCAATGTTAAATTGATTTGTGTCATGTGCTTTTGGCATAACTTACAGAACTTGTTTTTATTGAATTTTCTGGCTTTGTGTAGATTCATATTCAAATTGTTGGCTGTAGATTTGCCCTAATTTACTAGATTATGTATGTGTCTAGATCAGATACTTTTTTCCAATATAGGTACTAACAGACACAGATCACACCATCTCTCAATCTGTTGTTTTCAGTGAGGTAAACAGATTAGGGTCCTTATGTTTCTTAGAAAGGATTTTTGTATGTCTCTTTGTATTTCTGCCTTTTTTTTTTTTCCTGTTTCTATGACAGCCTTTGCAATATAGCAGGATGAAATGAAAAAGAAGTATGCTGAGACAGTGAAGAGAGGGAAGGGCTAGAAGCACAGACAGTGTCTAAATTCATGGAATAAGAATTCCAGGAAAATGTGAGTTTTGTTGTATCTGAGCTATTACTTCAATTCTGAAATTAAATAATGTTGGCGTGGAATTACACTATTTTCACATCATTGTTCTGTACCTTTGGGAGATTTATGGACCTGTTGAGCTTGGCCAGTTTGCACATCATCCTCACTTAGTCGTTGTTTCATTCTAGAATCAATATTAAAATATGGTGCTTAAAAATGTTGCTCTGTGTCCTGGATTCAGCAGTAGCAGTCATGTTTCTCCTTCTTGGTAGCTGGTGCAGTGCAGTGTTTTGACTTTCGGCCTGGGAACAGAACTGATAGAGATGTTTTGGTTTGGCCAAGGACTTTGTGGGCCCCATTCTCTGCCAGGGAGGAGGGGAAGCCAGGAGGAAGCAGAGACAGGACACCTGACCCAAACTGACCAAAGAGGTATTCCATAACACAGCATGTCATGCCCAGGATGTAACTGGGAGTTAGCCGGGAGGGCTGGGAGACTGCAGGGTTGGAGGAGGTATCGGTCGGTGCTTGGTCGGGGCTGGGGGGGGCGAGTTATCGGTCGGCTGGTGGTGAGGTGTTGTATTCTCTTCCCTTGTTATTTCCTTTATCACTGTTATTACTGGTGGTAGCAGTAGTGATTTGTGTTATACCTTAGTTACTAAACTGTTCTTATCTCAACCCGTGGGAGTTGCATTCTTTTCGATTCTCCTCTCCATCCCTCCGGGAGTAGGGGGAAGGAAAGAAGTGGGGGGGGGGGGAGTGAGTTAACGAGTTACCTGACTGGGTTTAAACCACGACACTCTGCCAGGTGTGGAAAATGTTGTATGATAGAAGCAGCTGACAATCCTGAAAGTAACGACTCCAAGAGTTTTACGCTGTTTGTCTTAGACCATATCTGCTGCTTATCTTGACAAACTCTATTTGAGTGTGACACTAAATTACAGTTGTATTCAGTCTTGCAGTGTTCACTAAGAGACTTTGGATTGTGTTTGGAGTTGTGGAAGGAAGAGAAAACAGTTTTTTTTCAGGTGCTTC